CAAGTTGTGAATGCAAAGGAAAAGTTCTTAAAGGAAATTAAAAGTGCTACTCCAGTGAACATATGAATGATAAGGAAGCAAAATAGTCTATTGCTGATATGGAGAAAGTTTTAGGGGTCTGGATAGAAGACCAAACCAGCCACAACATTCCCTTAAACTAAAGCCTAATGCAGAGCAGGTCCTAACCCTCTTCAATTCTCTGAAGGCTGAGAGAGGTGAGGAAGCTGCAGAAGAAAAGTTTGAAGCTAGCACAGGCTGGCTCATGAGGTTTAAGGAAAGAAGCCATCTCCATAACATAAAAATGCAAGGTGAAGAAACAAGTGCTGATGTAGAAGCTGCAGCAAGTTATCCAGAAGATCTAGCAAAGATAATTCATGAAGACGGCTACACTAAATAACAGATTTAGCAATTTTTAACAATAAAGGATTTTTCAACTAAGGTATATATGTGGTCTTTTTAGGCACAATGCTATTGCACACTTAATAGATTACAGTACAGTGTAAACATAACTTTTATATGCACTGGGAAGCTGAAAAATTTGTGTTACTCACTTTATGGTGATATTCACTTTGTTGCAGTGGTTTGGAACTGAACCCACAATATCACCAAGGTATACCTGTGTTTCTGGGCTCTCTCTTCTGTTCCATTGATCTATGTGTCTGTTTTTAAGCTAATATCACACTGCTTTAATTACTATAGCTTTGTAATACAGTTTGAAAACAGGGAACGTGATGCTTTCAGCTTTGTTTTTCTTCCTCAAGATTACTTTGGCTTTTTGGGATCTTTCTGGTTCTATACAAATTTTAGCATTAGTTGTTCTTTTCTTTGAAAAATGCCATTGGAATTTTAATAGAGATTGCATTGAATCTGCAGATTGCTTTGGGTAGTATGGACATTTTAACAATATTGATTCTTCCCATCTATGAACACAGAATATCTTTCCATTTATTTGTGCCATCTTCAATTTTTTTCATTAATATCTTGTAGTTTTCAATAGTCAAGTATTTCACTTCCTTGGTTAAATTTATTTCTAAGTAATTTATTCTTTTGGTATAATTGTAAATAGGATTTTTTTCTTTATTTCTCTTTTGTATAGAATTAGTGTATAGAAACACAACAGATTTTTGTGTACTGATTTTGTATTCTATAACTTTATTCAATTTGTTTATTAGTTCTAACAGTTTTTTGATGGAGTCTTTAGGGTTTTCTATATATAACATCATGTCATCTGCAAATAGTGACAGTTTTACTTCTTCCTTTCCAATTGGATGACTTCTATATCTTTTCTTGCCTAATTACTGACTAGGACTTCTAATACTACATTGAATAGAAGTGGCGAGGGTAGACATTCTTGTCTTGTCCCTGATCTTAAAGGAAAGGCTTTCACCCTTTCATCACTGAATATGATGTTAACTGTGGCTTGTCACATATGGCCTTTATTATATTGAGGTACCTTCTTCTATACCCACTTTGTTGAGAGTTTTTATCATAAATGGCTGTTGAATTTCGTCACATGCGTTTTCTGCACCTATTGAGATGACCATATGACTTTTATCCTTTGTTTTGTTAATGTGGTGTATCACTTTGACTGATTGGCAGATATTGAACCATCCCTGCATCCTTGGAATAAACCCCACTTGATCATGGTGTATGATCTTTTTGATGTATTGTTGGATTTGATTTGTTAATATTTTGTTGAGGATATTTGCATCTATGTTCATCAGAGATATTGGCTTGTAATTTTTTTTCTTGTGCTGTCTTTGTCTGGCATTGGTATCAAGGCAAGGCTGGCCTTATAAAATGAATTTGGAAGAGTTCCTTTTTCTTCTATTTTTTTGAAAAGTCTGAGAAATATTGATATTAATTCTTCTTTGAATGTTTAGTAGAATTCACCGATGAAGCCATTTGATCCCGAGCTTTTGTTTCCTGGGAAATTTTTAGCTATTGATTCAATGTCCTTACCAGTCGTCGGTCTGTTCAGATTTTCTATTTCATCATGATTCAGTCTTGGTAGGTTGTACATTTCTAGGAATTTATCCATTTCTTCTAGGTTGTCCAGTTTGTTGACGTACAATTGTTCATAGTAGTCTCTTATGAGCTTTTGAATTTCTGTGCTATCAGTTGTAACATCTTGTCTTTCATTTCTGATTTTATTTGAACCCTCTCTCCTTTTTCCTTGATAAGTCTGGCTAAAGCCTTGTCAATTTTGTAAATAAATGATGGTTCTACTTGATGAGGTCAAGACCACATGAAGAGAAGCAGATTCAGGAGGAAAGATGATGATGGGACTTTGTACATACTGAGGACACGTCTAATAGGCAAGAAAGAAGCTTAAAGGAGATCTCAGCTGGAGATGCTGATGTGGGACTTATCAGCAAATAGATGGTAGCTGAAACTAGGATATGATGAGATTTCCCTGAGACTCTAAAAATAAGATGTGAATAGGCCTAGCAAAGCACCTTGAGAGTGAGAGAGATTTAACTCATTTGGAAACATTTGCATTTTAAAGAGGTGCAAGTTAGGATAGGGATTGGGTAGAAAATGAGTTCTGTTTCATACATACAGTTTTAGGAGACTGAAAAACCAAAGTAAAAGGTAGGTTGGAAGTACCCTCCAGCAAGCATCTTCCTGCTTCAATAAATGTCACACAAGTCCTTATCTTTACTATTCTTCAAGATCCCTTAAATTGTTATAAGGACTAAAATAGGTATAAACTGAGTGCAAAACTTATGGCAGGAAAATACAGGTTTCCAGAAGGAAGCTATCTGGGGAAAATATTTATAGACTTGATATTTTTCTTGAGAAGTTAGTAAGAACTTCAAAATGTTGTAGAAACAGACAATGCAACAAATTAGAAACATGAGTAAAATCTTCAGAAAAAACCAAAAAGATGCCTTAAAAGGAAAATATAATCATACCATAATGGTAACTAGAGCAAACATAGTTACATAGCTATGACATAGTAGATGGTATTTACTGATTTTCAAATTTCAGAATTAATCACTAAACAAAACCCAGAAGAATTAATTATGATTACTAAACAAAATTTCTTGTCAACCTTAGTAATTTCAAGGGAAAGTGAAATGCCAGAAATTTTATGAAAGGGGGGACAAAAGGTGAAAGAAATTCACATTACTATGTGAGAAGTCGAGATTCATTACCTGTAGTATGGAACAAGAATTAAAAATAAGTTTATTGTTTAAGTTTACCATGAAGAATAAAAGTAGAATAATAACTATATTGGTATGAGGTAAAAAGAAATTGAGCAAGTTATGTAAGTTGGCTAAATTTTGTCTATCATAGAAGAAAGCCAATAAATCATGTCTAAAATTAATAAATCAAGTAATAATGATACATGTATACAATATGCAATATGTTGAAACTGCAAGAAGAAACAGTTTAAAAGTAGCTTCCTCTAGGGAGGAAGAAGTAGAGAATGGAAAGAGGTATGGCTAAGAGATTTTCATTTTGAATCTTTAGCTACTCTTTGATTATCAACCATGTACATGCTTTGTTTTTGAGAAAAATTTAAAATATTCTTTAAAAATGTAATGAGGTCTGTAAAATTCTACCTCCAAACTCCTTGTCTAACTTTCTTTCTCCTCTCTCTCTCAGTCTCTTTCTCTCTCACTCTCTTGAACCCTAGATGCAATCAAAATTGACTATCCAACAGAATCGAGTCAGACTCTGTTCCCTGAGGCACACTGTGGAGGAGCACTATGTGGTGCTGAAGAAAATTAAAGCCAGCCAGAATATCATTTATGTTGCCAATAGAATTTTTCTAGTCTTCTTGCTTGTAGCTGCAAACACACACACACACACACACACACACACCCCCCGCCCCACCACCACCTCCACCCACTATAACAACACATTCGTAAGAATTGGTGCCATTTAGTCTTTGGCTTAGCTTAGACCTATAGCTTTTAAACTCTCTGCTACTTCTCAGCTACTGTGGTTGCTTTTGGTATTCAGCTCTGCGTAACCCTCTTCCCCTGCTTTAGTCATGCTCTCTTCTGCTAACGTAACACGCCACTTCACACTCTTGGTCTGCCCCCAGTCCTCAGATTCTGCTAACTTCACATATAGGTCACCATGTGACTTGTTGACTTCTTCCCCATCTGTCAGAATATTGCACATTCTTTAAGACCCACATCACATACCAACTCATAATTTCTTCTCTGTGTTCCATTGAACTTTGCTTCCTATCTATAATAGCAGAGGTCACCATGACTTTTATTACAAATTTATTGTTTATGTATATTTTTACACTTGTTTCAACTTTAAATTCTTTGAAGGTGACCACTACATCTTGCTCATCTCTTATCTAACATAGTAAATGGAATAATTCAATGCATATAATGCTCGTTAGATGAATATTTAACTGCATTTAATTTTAGTCAGTCAATCTCAGATTTTTATGCACTGGGAAATTAGGGGTTATTTTCTGTAGATTTGAGTGGGGAGGCTCTTTCATTTTCTTCACAAGAATTTACTGAATGATACAGTTTTTATATTGAATGGCTGGTGAAATAATAACATAGTTAATGAGGTTAATAAAATTGAAACCAAAATTTTAAGTGTGAAAAGGAATCACACATGCAAAATATATTTTCTGTGATTGAACCTTAACTTTGTTGGGGTTTTTTTTTCAGCTTTCTAACATCCAGAGCAAAAAGGGAAATACTCTTTAATATCATCCTACATCCTACATCTCTAGATGTGCTCCATTTGGAAACTAGACAGACTTCCCAGAGAAATTTCAAACAGAATGAAGGGCATATCAAAAGGTCCAACATATGGGTAATTGCAATCCCAGAAGCAGAAAATAGGACAGAAAAAAATATTTTATGAAATAATGAATGAATGATCCAAAATTTAATGAAAATCATAAGTTAACAGATTTAAGAAAGTCAGAAAACTCCAAGCAGGATAAATTCAAAATAAATGCACCTAAACATACCTTAGTCAAACTGCAGAACCCAAAAGTAAGGAGAAAATCTTGAAAGTAGTCAGAAGAAACAACACTTACATACATTTGAACAATGATTTATTTGACTGCTTATTTCCCATCAGAAATGATGGCGATCAAAAGTGAATGGGTTGACATCTCTAAAGTGCTGAAAGAAAAAAACAGAAATCCTAAATTCTAAATCCAATGGAAATATCCTTAAGAATGAAGCTGAAACAAAGACACATCCAAACAAAAATAAAATTAGTAGAATTAATTAGCAGCTACTCTGCACTAAAATAAAAGTTAAAGAGAATTTTTTAGGTTAAAGAGAAATAATACCAGAAGGAAATTCAAATCTTCAGGAAGGAATGAAGAGCATCGAAAATTGTAAATGTCTGTTTCAACATAATAGATAAGTATATTCTCTTAATTTCTTTAAAATGCATATAATTTTAAAGCAAAAACTATAACACTCTTCTTTGAGATTTATAGCATAAGCAGACATAATACATATGACAATTCTAGCACAACAGATGGGAGGGTAATAAATGGATGTATAGAGTTGCAAAGCATCCCCATTTTACATGAAGTCATACAATATTAAATTTAAGTAGACTGTGAAAGTTAGGGATATATATTGTAATCCCAAGAGCAACCACTAAAACTAATGCGAAGAGGTATAACTAAAACCCAATAGATAAATTGAAATGGAATTAATATATATATATATTCAACTAATATAAAAGAAAGCAAGAAAGGAAAAACAGAGGAACAAAAAGAAGGGACAAACAGAAAAAAAAAATAGTAAAATGGGAAACCTAAATTTAATCATGCCAATAATTGCATTAAATGTTATTGAACTAAACACCCCAATTATAAGACAGAGATTATCAGAATGAATATTTAAAAGACCCAGATATATGCTATTTTAAGGAGGTGCACTTTAAATATAAATATGCAAATAGATTGAAATTAAATAGTTGGAGAAAATATGCTATGCAAACTGCAAGCATGAGAAAGTGTAGGGTGTCTATATTAACATCAGATAAATTAGATTTCAAGACAAGGAGTATTATCAGAGATAAGGAGGGACATTTCATAATGGTAAAAGGACCGGTATATTAGATATAATAATCATAAATGTATATGTGCATAATAACAGAGTTTTAAAATACATGAATAAAAAACTGACAATTAAAGGAGCAATAGAAAATTCTAGAACCAAAGTTGGAGATTTTAACATTCCTCTTTCAACAACTGAGAGAAGAATGATTCAAAAATTTCAGGAAAGAATAAATGACACTATTTCTGCAAAAAAGCTAATAGCTAATTTAGACCATAAAAGATAGTTATACTAATGTTGTTGCTAATATCAATCTATGGAACAATGTTTGCTGATGATCAACAAATGTGCATAATTAGGTCTGTTTAGGCTTTCAATATCAATGTATTGGTGTCTACTTACTGCTATTTTATTCTTAAATCATTGAAGAACCATTAAAGACTTTTGAGCAAGAGAGTAACACGATATAATTAGCATTTAAGAGCAATCATTCAGACTTCAAGACTGAGGTAGGGAGACCAACTTGGTGGCTGTCAGAATAATCCAAACGGATGAGCGTGCCTTCAGTAAAGAAGGGGTGGTAGAGTAAAGAGAAGTAGATAGATTCAACATATTGTTAGGACATAAAACTGACAACTTGGACAAGAGAAAGAGAAGTCACATACCCAATTTCCAGCATAGGCAGTAAGGTGGTGCTATTTCCAGTGTTTCACAGAAGAGGCAGACTGGCACAGAAGATGATGTTCTCACTTCAGGACGTGCTGACTTCGAGGTGCTGTGAGCATATGCATGTAAATATGTAGCTGGTTGCTGGAAATAAAGTCTCTGAAGCTTAGGAGGAAGACAGGACTTGAAGATAAAATTTTGGGAGTTACCAGCATATGGAACAAGCTTATAGCCATGGGAAGAGATGAAGATTATATTACATAGAGAAGAGCCTTGTATAGAACTTTTAGGAACAGCAACATTCAAGAAGGGGTAGAGGAATAGAAGTTCTCAAAGGGAATGTGAATGAGAAAGCGAAAAAACAAAGAGAGACCGGGAACGTGGGTTATCACAGAAGCCAAGGGAAGAGCGCACCAAGAGAGAGGGAGGGATCAACACTGCTCAAGTTTAGGGGGTCATGGCGGTGCATAAAGACTGCAGTGGGCTGAATAATGGGCTGAGTATGGATGCTTGAAGTAACCTTTAAGGAGAATACGAAAGCAAGTTGACTTGAGAAAATAGAAAAATTGTGTAGACTTGAGTACTTATGTGAGGTTGGAGACAATGAATTTGTAGTGATGCAAATCTACATAGTTATGCAATATTCTCCAGCAGCCCGGAATAGCAGAGACATCAGCAAAATAGCACATAGTTAGACTAATCCCAATCTGTGATTTTTCCCAGCAGGAGGGAGATAAAGACAAAGGTTCACGTGGTTCAAGATTAGCAAGACAGAGTTAGCCAAGGAATCAAAACTGAGTACAGAAAAGTGTGAAGAAGGTTGACAGGGGAAGATTAAGGAAATAGATACTTAGTTATTAATAATAATCAGAGCAATACTGGCTGTTATAACAAACACCAATATTTAAATTACTTAATACAATAACTTGCTCACTTGAGTGTTCCTGATTAAGATAGATGAGGGGTTCTGCTTCGACAGTCATTCCAAGCCCTAGGTTAACAGATGACCTGATATTTTCAACATATGCTTTCCAAGGTCACTTATGGGCATGACATTCAGCCAGCAACCTGGAGAAAGTACATTTTCTTCTTAACCACCTGGACTTGGAATTATCACACATCACTTACACTCAGGGTCTTTGGCAAGAATTAGGACCTCCACCTAAATGCAAGAGGAGCTAAGAAATATAATACTTGGCTGGGCAGCCACTTTCTAGCATAAACCCTGCATTAAGGAAAGAGAACATGAATCTTTGATACATAGCTAGCTGCCTCAGTCACAAATTTCCTATAAGGTTGAAGGGTATAGATTGAAGACCACGTCAATAAGGTATCTAGAAAGACTGGTGGATTGATCCAAAATGGGATGTTTGTTTTTAGTCAGAGGTGGAACAATTCTAGGTGATGTCTGAGATATATCTATCTACAGAGAGTCGGCTAAAGTGAAGTAGAAAGGAAAGTTAATGGAAGCGAAAAAGTCAAGAAACTTGTAGAAAATGCTGTGTGTTGTTCATATAGACCTGGAAGTAACCCAGGATAATGGTAAGACTTAAGGTAGAGAGGAAGAGAATTAGCTAGTTGGTTAATCTTCATTGAATGAGAGCAAGCAACTGGGAGGGTGATAAATGACAGCAACATAGAGAAGCAGAGAGAGGGGTAGCAGATAGGATAAGCCTCAGAAGGGCAGAGATAAGATGTAATCAGGAGGTACTATGATCAGCAAGTGGCACTAGGAAAAAGAAAGATGTAAGATGGGTTTCCAATGCCTTCCTGAAGTGTATAGTCTTTTAGGTGGCTGCAAGGGAGCAGTAACGACAAAATGAGAGCCACTTTCTATTAAAGAAAAGAAAAAAGGAAAATAGTTATTAAAGAAATAAAAAAATGATGACACCTAGCAAATAAGTAATATATTACCCCCATATTGAAATTGTGGCAATTTAATCAACTGATTTGTTCATATTTGCTGGATGTTAGCAAAGTGTTCAAGATGAGAATACTCAAGCATATTTAATGAAAAATCTATACAATTGTACATGTAAGATCTAATTTCATTGGCACTCATTCTTGGACAAGTCATTTCTCTGAGTCTTGAATATGACATCTGTAAAATGGAGATAATTATAACTTACCCACCAAAGTCAGAAAGGTGGCCCAGACATTGCCTTGGGTTTTCTTTCACCGCTAAAGTCTATGATTCTCCAAAATTACAGCTAGGAAAAATGAAAGAAATTTTTCACTTAAGACTCAAACATTAAAATCTTGTAAACCTTAGAACTCTCAACAGACACATCATAAAGTCATACAGTAAACACAAATAATGCTACCTGGAATAAAATTTTAACATTCTGAATTTTGAGGGAAGGATCCAAACAATCAAAAGAAACATTTTGGGTAGAGAGTTATTTACATCATCCATGACAATGATTTCCCTTTTTTTCTTTCCTGACACTCCACATTTAAATGCAATCTTATAGAGAAGACAAATACGTAAAACAAATGAAACCAGATTGCTCCTGTGGAAGTGAGAGATAAGAGCCCAGATTTCATTCCACTTGGGGGAAAATCAGAGCACAGTTCTTTCCTCAGGGTGCCTCCTCAGAGCGCAGCTCAAGACTAAAGCACAGGTGGAAGCGTCACAGGAAAGGAGTCTTCTCAGGCGGCCATTCTTTTAACAGCCGCAGTAGTTTCCCCTGAAGACTTCCCTGAAACCAGGAATCACTGATCTGCATATAGTCAACCCGTAATCAATAGTTTATCATTGGTCTCACTTTTTTCTACCCATCTCAATGCCAGACATATTGATCATATATTTTTATCAATGTTTTTATTAAATTCTCTATTGTATTGCCTTAAATTGTTTTGCCTAATCGTATCATGTGTAATTATAATCAACATTCCCTAACAACCTCCTACCACAAGATTTCCAATTTTTTGAGGGCAAGGAATATATAATTGTTGAATAGATGAAGTTACCAGGATCAACACCTAGTTCTGAATTAAATATTAATATGTATGAGGAAAATATTGAAAGGATTCAAAAGAGAAATACAGATGAAAATATGTGGAAATTAAAAGAAGTGAACCTGTTTTACTGGTCAATGAAAAGACAATGAGAAAACTAATAACTGTCTTTGGGTTGGGGGAAAAAAAACATTATTCATTTATAACTTTGTAACTCTTGCACTTTCATGAAAGGTTTAAGTCAGGAAAAAGGGAGCAAATTCCTTTTTAATGACGCCTGCCTAGACCACCAGTGCTACTCAGCAATCCCAAATCAGCAAACTCCCTCATTTCTCTGAATAGCTTCTATCCTACCCCCACTCTCTGATAGTGTCCAAGAAGGAGATTAAAAGGCATAGATAAAGGCAATGAGAGTAGAATTACAGAGCAAATGTGGCATTGAGAATGAAGAAAGGATGATAGATGCGGCAGCTTCTTGGAACAAGAAAGGATGGTTGATTCAGAATGCACAGGAAGAGGGACAGAAATGCCAGCAGACACCCAGGATTCTAGACCGCACAGCTCAGTGAACAATGTAGCTGTTCATGAAGACACAACATGTAGAAAAAGGCAGAAGGGGGAAGAGGAAGGAAGAAATGGTGGTGACTGGGGGAGAAGTATGTTCCCTGTTAAACATGCTGAGTTGAGACGGCTTGGGACGTGCGGTGGAAATGTCTGGAAGGCAGTCAGATATACAGAGCTGAAGCTGGCCTGAGGACACAGATTTTGGAGCTGTTGGTGTGACTAACACCGTAGCTGTGGTTGAAATTGACCAGGAAGAGCAGGTAAAGGAGAGATTCCCAACTTGGGCTCCAGGTGCCCCTGGAGTTCCCATGCGCATTCTACAGGGAGTTCTTTTAATTTCCTAAAAATTATATAAGATTTTGTGAGCATGTTCCTTTTATCTGGGGACAGGATTTACGTCTTTCTTCAGATTCTCAAAAATCCGTTACCTGAATAGGTAGTGAACCTTTTCAAAGGTGTTAATTAAGAACTAAAGATCTCTACGAAGCATACCCTGAAGAATAAAGTGTTCATGCACAGAAAGAGAATCAGGAGCCGAGATGGAGCCTGAAGAAAGGAGGAGAAGAGAGTAGGAGAAGCAGAAAGATGCAGGGCTGGTTCCAAGAGAAGAAAGGGTGACAAGTATGAAATCGCCCCTTTTGCCATTCAGGGTACAGCTCGAATGTCAACTCTCAGCGAGGCCTTCTCTGACCACTTGCCTCCAGCTCACAGACGTGTTTATTGTGTAGCTCCACTGCGAAAAAGAAAGCTCCCCATGGGCAGGAACCCTGAGTTCCCAGTGCCTGAAACATAAGGAATATAATATAATTATTGAGTGATTATTTGACTGACAGTTATTGGAGACAATCTGCAATTTTTTAAACTTGATTTTTGCCTTTCCTGTACCAAAAATAGATTAGATCCAGTTGGTCCATAAACGGTTTTTGATTGAATGACTCAATAAAAAAGTGAGCAAATGTTTTCCCATTTATGTCCTAACACTACAAATAACAACTCAGGCAGAGTGCCACCACAGAATACAGATAAAAAGGAAGAGGAGAAAAACAAAACAGATAACTAAACAACACAGTAACTAAAGGATTAGTCACTGAAATTTATGCTCATTAGTCAGGTTTCTTTTCCACTAATAAAAATAATGATTATTTATGTGATATACACCTTTTCTTTTAGTCTATAGTCTATAATGCTAGATGGGAACACATGTAGTAGTTGTCAAAAATTGCTGAATCTAAAAAAGCCAACCAAATTAGACAATTCAAAAGGTCTTTATTATGTGCCAAACGCTGTGAAACAAAATGCACTAAGCCGCTTTGACTGTAAATATTTACTGAGGAAAAATGAAGTTGCTTTACTAGCCAATTTGAGTTACAACATTAAAGTCATTAAACAACATAAGTCATTTCAGCAATTTTAACATGATGCTACACACTCATCTCCAATAAAATATATTATTTCTTAGAATTATTATAGAAAATTACATGATTGAATATAGACATGTTTTCTTCTTTTTAGTGTTTAAGCCATGCTTACTGTTTCCTATAAATAAACTGCAAAATAGGAAGAAACCCCACCTTGGGAAAAGTATTTTACACTTCCAATCTCAGATATTCATAACAATATTTAAGTTAGAGTTTACAATATTAAATTCACCTTCTGAGATGCAGGTGTGACAAACACGTCAACCTGACAACAAGGAAAAGAATTTCTATGTATTAAACAGTGCAGGTAGAAGATGGTCTCTGCAATCAGATGGCGTGTACACTGATGCATTTTTTAAAGATTCATCTTGAATGAATACTGTGGGGGACAGCAGTATTTCCAAAGTGGCTGCCATGTCCTTGTTCACGAACAGACTCGAGAGCCAAGGAAAGAAAAATGAAAGCTGACGTCTGTGCACAGTTTAATGTTGGCGCAGGCACAGGGCCAGCTACATAATTTGCAAAGCCCAATGCAAAATGAAAAGGTAGGACTCTTGAAAAAGTAGGGGAAGCTACCGTTAAAAGGTACAAAAATATAAAGCCTTTTGCTTTCTTCCACTGTCTCTCTCTCTCTGATTTCTCTCTCTCTCGGTCTCTCTCGACTTGACACCGTGTTTTTATTTGTTATTTAATGTTGTTTTAATTAAAGAAAAATCAAAATTTTAAATTATTAGCATGAATTTTGCCATCCATCTTTATATTGGACAATGCTGGCTTTAAATACAAATATAAGAACATTTAACTCATATGTGAAATCACCAAAATTACATGATTTGTGTTTCCTAGCTCATACATTAATACTTAGCAAAACAGTGGAAACATTGTATAAAACTAATTTCACTGTTTTTATTTCACTGCTTGATACATTTTACCAATTTTACCAATACTCTCTGCCTTTGGCTTACTGAAAAATAAGAAATGACTGAAAAGAAAAGGAACTGTGAGTTGCCCTGCTTTCACTTTCCTTCTATGTCATGATGTTCGGGGTAAATGGTTAGTTAGGATATGGAAGTGACAGGAGTAAGAAAGGATATGTTGGTCTCCTAAGACATTGGTGTTTCTTAGAAGCCACTACCTGCTTTCAAAACAAGTTCCGGTTAGAAAGGAAAGTGAGCCTCTGGAGCTGTCAGCACCACATTTCCTCAGTCCTAGATGTGATGCACTCACTTTGTACTCCCTTTGTGACTCACTGAACTCCCTTTTCCTAAAGAATGACCAAATCTTTCTGTTCTCAGTCTTAAATTGATTGGCAGGAGAAGAAAAATTACCTCTTTGTATTTTAGAAAGTTCTCCTTTTAAAATAAAAGCCTTCTTTGGGCCGGCCTCACGGCCTAGTGATTAAGTTCAGTGCACACCGCTTTGGTGGCCCACGTTCCCAGGTTCGGATCCCAGGCAACAGACCTATACCGCTCATCAAGCCATGCTGTGGCCATGTCCCACATACGAAATAGAGGAAGATTGGCAAAGGTGTGAGCTCAGGGCCAATCTTCCTCACCAAAACAGAAAAGCCTTTCTGGGCCAATCCAAGAAATGCTGGAGTTCAGTGGCCACTGAGGGAAATGTAGGGAGACCAGCTACTCTAGACCAGAAGAGGGAGAGAATTTGAGGCTCGTGTGAGGCGTTTGGTTTCTGCAAGACGGGGAGGTCCATGGAATGGCAGGCTCTGTAAGTGCTGGGACATGTGCCCAACTCATAAGCAGCATCTCAAGAGGGAAGAGAAGTTCTAACAGAGAAAGTAGAACTGGGTTCTGAGCCTTACTCACTTGGCTTTGAGACCAAGGGCAAATGTCAAACTGACAGAGGAGCTGGGCCCTGAAAGCAGCATCATTGTCTCAAGAAACAGAGCTGCAAAATTGCTGACATTAGAAATCACATAGCAAAAAACCAATGGTAACTATGGTGACCACCCTGGACATCCAGGGTCCAGGATTCCTGTGCTGTTCAGTAAAGGGAAGGATGAAGCCAGGAGAGAGTGGACATAGAAACAGATTTAATTTATTTAGAAAAATAAAGGAAGGTAACATTTCCTGCCTTGGTCTCATAACCACCTCTTATTTGAGCTCAAAAAAAAAAAAAAATCCATCTCAGCCTTTTTTTTTTTGACTGGGGAAGAGTCACCCTAAGCTAACCTCTGTGCCAATCTTCCTCTGTCTTGTATGTGGGTTGTCATCACAGCATGACCACTGACAAGTTGTGTAAGTGCACGCCCAGGAGCTGAACCCGGGCCACCAAAGTGGACCACACC